GGGTTGGAAGAAAGAGAACTTGATCTAAACATGCTCTCTCATGCTCTTTACTGTGACCAGAATTGCATAGAGGTGAGCTTTCCTATATATATATATATATATATATATATATATATATATATATATATATATATATATATAGATTCTACAAAAAGATAAGTGTATTGTGAGATGTGGGCAAATTAAAATGTTTGCATTGTATCATAAGGTCAAATAAGTTGTAATGAAGAGACTAACTACTACTAATAATGTTTTGTGGTCTAAAACTAAGATTTTAATGATATATTTTATGTTTTTGTTGCAAATAAGGTTTCTGAGAAACTGGAGAAAACATTGGTAGGATTAAAGAATGAATTGGAAGAAGGATATTCATGGACTTTACTCCGTCAATTAGATCATCAGCACGGAGTGTACATAGATGAAGATTATGAAAGAACAATTTGTCACTCCAAGCTCGCTGTTGCCTGGAGATTAATGGAGGATTCCTTCGGACAAGTTTTTGATAGCTACACAAAAATTAACGTTATCAAAAATGTCATTTACAACTGTGGGTATGTACTAGCTAGACATTATAAAAATTTCTATAACATCATGAATCTAAAGTTATAAAATAAATTTCATTTTTGAATTATGACTTATATTGACATATATATATATATATATATATATATATATATATATATATAGTGATAGACACCTTCTGTTTCATCATTTAAACTTTTGCAGTTCAAATTTCAATAGAATTGACTTCAAAGGCTTCTACACCGCTGTCTTGGAAACAAATGGGAAAATAGTTTGTGTTGCAGCTCTAAGGTAATAATCATCAAACATATATGGTATATATTTGTTATATGTGTCAATTTGATTCATAGTATATCACATAATATAATCTCTGAAATGTGAACATTCGAACATATATGCTCTTATTTGGTTTAAGGGAATGCATGCGGAGTTTCTTTACACAATGCGAAATTCTTATCATATTAATGAGAATCTCATTCCTCCTCCCCTTCAAGTTTTTAGAAGTGTTTGGTTCAAGCTATGTTATATCAAATAATTAAAATGTTGAAGCTTTTATGTATATAATGTTGTTTTAATTTATAGGATTCATGACACAAGGATTGCAGAAATGCCTTTCATTACTGCTCATTCTGCTCATAGACGCAAAGGGATGTGTAGAAAACTTATGATTGCTATTGAATCTGTAAGTTATTTAATTGATCTTTAAAATTATATTTTTATAAGTAATTTACTTTTAATTTCCTTTCTGGCTTAAATTAATTGTCATACACGCATATTGCACGTGCTCCCATATGACCAAGCTAACACCTTTATTTTTCTATATGAATGTTTTTTTTATAAATATTTTGATTTCCCAACATATATGGCATGCTTAACGGTGATATACTTATTTTGCAGGTACTTTGCTACCTCAATATAGAGAAACTAATCATTCCATCTGCACCAGAAAAGACAGAAAGTTGGAAGACAAAATATGGATTTAGTGTATTAGATGATGAAACAAAGAAACATCTAATAAACTACAATGTATTGATGTTTCATGACGCTGTTAAACTGCAAAAGATCCTCCTTCCTTGCAACAAATGACCAAACATTAAGCTACTACTGCTGCTTTGATGCTGGTTTCACGGCTGCAGCGGCTAAGGCAGCGTATGGGGCGTGTTAATTTGACAGGCATGGGGTGTTTGTGACAGCAACTAATGGACCATTATTGGACTGTGTTTATAATTCTCTTCTGGGGGCAGTAAGGAAGCACTTTCCTGGATCAAAGCTTGAGGTGTGGAGGTGATACGGGTGGTTTTGATTGTCTTAATTTAGTTCGTGCTAGCTTTAAAAGGGGATCGTATTGATAGAACTTATGTTGGCTCTGTTATTCATTCTTGTCTTTCTTTGCGTAGTTCTTTTGTTTCTTTAGAATTTTATCATATTAGTCGTTTTGTGAATTGGTTGCCCATGCTTTGGCAAAGGCAATTAGTGATCAGTCTGAGTCTATGTACAGGGAGGGTTCTCCCCCATCTTTTATTTCAGCGTTGCTTTAATATGAAGTTTGGATTTTTGGGTTTTCAAAAAAATTGAAAATAATAAAATTTAAACTAATTGCCTATTGGCTATGGATTCTTTCACTTCAGTTGAAATTATGCTTAGCTAATTGAATATGAATTGAAGGATTGGAGCAATTGATGAATTGAAGAAGATGAAGTGTTTGATAATGAAGAAAAAGAAGAAAAAGATTTCATTGAAAGTCAAGAAGAAGTGTCTTGAACTCATTAGGTTGTGATCATGCAAGGTTATGTTAGAAGATTTGCTTCATATTGTGTATGATTAATGCTTTGATTATATGGCATATTCTTTGAAAATGTGTTGTTGCTAAAAGAGTAGAGCACATATGAGCCACACTACACATTCTTGTTCCTACTATAGGTAAGTAGGATAGGGAGATGTTTACATGTTATGGTTTTGATTGTTTCTAATTTTATTTGAATTACCATGAGGGTCGAATTGGAGTCAAATGATTGACCAAATGATTACACCAGTAGCTACTGTTGGGCACGTGCAATGCACATGCCCGCTAAGTGCGTTAATACAATTAATAAAATTTTAATTTATTTTGACTGTGATATTTTTCATTTTCTTTTTTTCCCACTTCTCTCTCCTTGTTGGACACAAACCTAATCAGAACAATATAATGTAACTATTGTAGTTGCTTTAAGGAAGCTACTCTATAATCCACTCGTATGGTTTCTTTCAGCTAGGAATAGTAATACATTCTAGTAGCTTCCATAGTTGTCTGTGATTTTTCTGTAATTGAAACAAAAATGAACATATGAAGAACATATGAAGACAAATGTTTTCTCAAAAGTTGTATCTTAATACAACAAAGGTGTAAAGCTAATCAAGAAAATGTTATTTAAAACAAATTTTTTACACGTAAGTAATTAGTTTTTTTTTTTTAATACAAGTAATTAGGTTTAATATTTAGGTAATCCAATTATATTTATGGGTATGAAAAGTAATCCTATTTTTTTTCCTCCTAAATTTGCCACATGATGCAAAGTTAGAGTAAAAATTAATTTTTTGATTAATTTAGAGTAAAAATTAATTATTATATATACTATTGAAAATTATTTAATATATTAATTACTATAAAATATCAAGTAATATAATGAATAATTACCATATAATTAATTGTAATACCAATCCATCACAGCAAATTGCTGTAGAAATTTTGTTTTTTGAGGACCCCGTAAAAATTTATAATTAATTAAAAAAAAAAAAAAAAAAAAAAGAGAGAGAGAAGAAGAAGATAGAGGTGCTAGTGCTTGTCGCACGCACCCAACGTTCAGTAGGCGTGTGCACTACACATGCCCACTGAGTACGTTAATACAATTAAAAGATTTTATTTTTTCTCATTTTTTCTTTCTTTCCTCCCCTTTTTTTCTCTCCTTAGCTTATTAAGTATATAATGTTTATTAAATTTATAGTAGGATCCATGACAAAAGGATTTATGAAATGCCTTTTATTGCTACCAATTTTACTCATAGACATAAAGAGATGTGTAGAAAATTTATGATTGCTATTGAATATGTAAGTTAATTTCTTTTTAAAATTATATTTTTATAAGTAATTTACTTTTAATTTCCTTTCCCGCTTAAAGTAATTCGTCATACACGCATATTGCACGTGCTTCCGTATGACCAAGCTAACACCTTTATTTTTCTATACGAATCTTTTCTTTTTTTTTTTTTGTAAATAATAAAATTATTTTGATTTCTCAACATATATAACATGCATAGCGGTGATATATATATTATGCAGGAACTTTGCTACCCCAATATCGAAAAATTAATCATCCTATCTACACCAGAAAAGAAAGAAAGTTGGAAGAAAAAGTATGAATTTGGTGTATTGGATGATGAAACAAAGAAACAGCTAATAAACTACAACACATTGATGTTCCGTGACGCTTTTAGACTGCAAAAGATCCTCCTTCGTTGCAACAAATGGACCAAACATTAACAAGAGGTATTTTGATTATTTAGGCTTCCATTAAATGAAAATAATAAAATTTAAACTAATTAATTGCCTATTGGGTATGGATTCTTTCACCACATTTTAGTTGAAATTATGCTTAGCTAATTAATTGAATATGAATTGAAGGAGCAATTGATGAAGAAGAAGTGTCCGATAATGAAGAAGAAGAAGCAGATTTCATTGAAAGTCAAGAAGTGTCTTGAACTCATTAGGTTGTGATAGTTATGTTAGAAGATTTGCTTTATATTGTGTATGATTAATGCTTGATTATATAGCAGATTCTTTGAAAATGTGTTGTTGCTAAAAGATTAATAGGTCCGTAGGATAGGGAAATGTTTACATGTTATGGTCTTGATTGTATTCAATTTTATTTGAATTATGATTGTATTCAATTAGATTTGAATTACCATGAGGGTGGAATTATTAGAGTCAATTGGTTGACCAGATGAATACATCAATAGCTACAGCCCGCTAAGTACGTTAATATGATTTTAAAAAATGGAGCGTTATGCCTGGGACCCGTGTCCACCATGTGCATGGTGGACATGGTGGACACGCTGTACATTCATACTTTTTAAATTTACATTAAAGAAATAATGAATCTACAGTACAGAAATTATGAATGTGCAGTATAGAAATTATGAATCTACATTATAAATTTTATGAACCTACAGTTTAGAAATTATGAATCTACAGTATAAAAATTATGAATGTACAATATAGAAATTATGAATGTACAATGTGTCCATAGCATAATTTGCCTAAAAAAAGTTGTCCACATAAGCAGTGGTCATAGGGATGAAATTTGAAAAAAAATAATCAAGGATCGAGTCTCACCAACAGTAGTACCGGAGCAACCTCTCAAAGTGAGGGGGCTCTTAGCAAAGGTATGATTTACATCCTTCTGTATTTTCCCTCAATTTTCAAAACGGCACATATACAGTGTATTATATAACACAATCAAACCTATTATATAACACAACCGAATAGTCAATGAATGAATATCACCATTACTATTACAATTGTGATAATAAGCAACAATGTAAATAATTTAAAATTAAACGTCACATAGTGCATATTAGTAAAAAGTGCTCAGGATTATGGCCAGTTCCAACGACTGGTATCCTCTATCACTCTTCAGGCATAAAAAAAAAAGTTTTACTACATGTACATCCAAATTTTACTCCCTCACTTTTATTCCATGACATGACAAGCAAAGATTGGATATTTTCATCATGTGGGTCCCAGAGAATGTGTCTACATCAAGAATTTGTGAAAGGAAGTACAAGTTGGGAGTAAGAAATGGGAGTGCATGTGGTATTTTCCAAAAAAAATGTTTCTCAGCATCATCTATAGAAACATGGCAACTTGTAGATATGGATCACCAAAAAGTTTATGGGAGAGCATTCAACAAGATATGTAATTTATCACAACCAACTTAGCTCCACACAATCCAAGCTCTCACACAACCAACAAAGTTGCAGAGGAAAAGAGAAAGGGTCCATCAGATCTTTCTGGACTCGACTTTACTGGATTTATTGCCATTCATCCAAAGCAGTGATGCCGAACAATACGCGAACACTGTATCAGTTCCCACTGAAACACAGATAAAATTTTATTGTTTCAGACATTATACATATATTTGCTAGTTATATCATGAATGATGAACTTCAAGTCACCAAGCATGCATACTCGGCCCCTACATGAATGCACATCATGTTTCTGAAAAATAGAAGGGTGATGATTGTTTATCATTATAATGCTCATCTTCTTTTAAGTATATATCTTCATTACCTTACGTATCACACATGTGAATAATGTTTGTTTGCAGAGCTATCTGAGCCGAGTGTCACGCACCGTTTGCGTGACCGTGTTAGACCCAATGAATGAACGGGCCAATTGGCTAGCTTGCCATAAAATGGGTAGGGGGCGACAATAACGTCAAGGGTTGTTCTGCCTTAGATGCTAAGGTCTTGCCGAGTTAGGCATGCCGATCCGTTTAAGTTCGGGGAGCTTGTGCTAGTCTTGGACTTGACTATGAAGGGGACCGAGGTGATTTGAAGGGCACAACTGGTCGGGAGCTATTGTCGTTTCCTTGATGAGCCCATGGTAGGGCGAAACCACTTTAGCATATATGAGGGGTAAGGCTGGTCCGCAAGGTGGGAGAGGCCCCGGGATGCCACACGGACGCTGGGCCGGATTCTAGGCCCATTGTTAGAAGTGAATAAAGTATGGATATAAAGGGCCAAGACATATGAAAAGCCAAAGGGATGTGAAGGGCCATGTATTGTAAAGTACAGATGTGAAGGGTGTTCTACATTGTGTTTAGCATGTATATATATGGCAGTGTGTGTAATTAAGGATAAAGTAAGAGAAATAATAGAAAGTGCTATTATTTAACATGGTATCAGAGCCTATTGGGCATTGATCGGCGCAAGGAGGCGACGCCGCCGGAGGAAGGGGAGCGACCAACGTAGCCTCCACGCGCCGCCGCTGACCAGAGCTCCAGTGACCACGCGCCGACGCGTGAGAGCGCGTGAGGCCTTTTCTGACGACCTTTTTAGACGGCGACTCCACCGGGAGTTTCGCCGTGAAGAGGAGAGTCGACCTAGGTGAAGAGTGAGAGATTTTGGTGTTCTCCAAGCCTGTGACAGTTGTGCTGCTGCTGTTTCTGCTGTAAAATTGCTACTTGTGCAGGCTACTGCTTCTACTACCACCACTGCATACAAAGGAAGAGGCGGTGGTTTGGCTTTTGGAGAAGAGGAGAAAGAATAATTGGGTAGTAGGGTTTATGTTATTTTGTGTTGTTTCTTTATAATTTGTGGCCTTATTAAGTTTAGTTTATATGTTGTTTGGGCTATGGGTCATAGGATTAGTCTCATATTTTGGTATGAGTTGAGTCAGTCCAGCTTGTTCATTGTGAATCAGTCCGGGGTGCTGTAGTGATGGGCAACACGAATGCCAGGAGGGGTGCGGACCTGGCATATGCCACGGCAATTATGGGAGGCCGATGGTTGAAGAAGAATTTGTTCCAGATGAACCAATTTGTGTGCACCAGGAAAACAAGAAAAACACTGGTGTTAGGCAGCGCTAATAATGGCTTGTGGTGCAAGAGGCAGGAGCACTGTGGTGTTAAGCAGTGTTGATACCGGTGTGGGGTGTGAGTGGCAGGTGCGCAGTGCGCTGTGGTGTTTGGCCTGATTTTGGCTTCGTGGAAGCTTTGTTGGTGCAACAAGTTGAACTGTGGACTGATTTGGCACAGCGTGGTTTGAAGATTGTTCAAGTGGTTCGAGACATGGGTGTTGATCTCGAAGGTTATGACTCAAGATGTGAAGTCCTATGGCTCATGTGATATATTTGTAACAAGCTGGGCATGATTGATATCTATGCTCCAGCTTGCTTAAGGGGGAGTGTTAGAAGTGAATAAAGTAGGGATGATATGAAGGGCCAAGGCATATGAAAAGCCAAAGGGATGTGAAGGGTCATGGATAGTAAAGTAGGAATGTGAAGGGCCGTCTTCTACATTGTGTTTAGCATATATATATATATATATATATATATATATATATATATATATATATATATATCTAAAAATCTAATCTAAAAACATAATAAATGTGAATGAAAGTTATACCCCTGATTTATGTCCGTTTTTTCCGTTAAGTTTTTTTGTACATTATGCTATAAAGGTTGTACATTAAAATATTTTGGACAAACATACCCCTACCGTTATAACTTCCGTTATCTTTTCCATTATTGTTACCATACACAGGCATCCACCATATATTTTCTTATCTTCTTCATTAATAATAATATATACACATTAAATATTTGAGTTATATGTTTAATTATTACATAAATATAAATATCAAATTTATAAAAATGATTTACATTATTATTATTATTATTATTTAGAATAATTTAAATATCTAAAATCTAAATAAATTTAAAATTTTAATATAATGTATAAATATTGGGCACCTATTTTTTGCGCATCGCGCATAAAAAATACTAGTATATGGCAGTGTGTAGTTATGGATAAAGTAAGAGAAATAATAGAAAGTGCTATTATTTAACACCCGTTACACAAGGCTCATAATACTACTAATTGATACTATGAAACTCAGATTTTAAATGACATTAATGAATAGTACTAAAAAAGATAGAAAATTTTTACCACACTATCAAAAGTCAGATTTTAATGTGTCCTGCAAGATCACATCCAAACACCACACAGCTTAATGAAGTATTTCACCTCAGTAAGAGTAATTTAAAATAATCTAAAGAATAATAAATATGGGTAGGCATAGAATAAAAGCTATATCAGAACTCTTGAAATTGCTGATACCATATATATAGTCATAGTCCTACCACAACAGCAAAAAATCACATACAACTAAGTAGTTTAAAAAATAGTTAACTAATAAGTGGCGCACCATAAAATGCATATCTAAACGGGCATGAGAACTCAAACACAACAAAGGCAATGAAGAGACATACCAGGCTAGCCAATGAATCCAAGCCACCATCATTAGATTGCAAACGATAGCCTGTTTTCCACCCATTACGAGTTGCAGGACCACTTTGAACCGCAACCCACCAAGCCTAATGAAATCCAATCTTCAGTTCAAACACCATTTGAGATGTGTAAAGTGATTTTCTAATGAGTCTACAGATGAACCTAGTGGCTTAGTTGGCAGAATTTCATGAAGAAAGGAATCATTACCACCGCTACCAGAGGATTATCAACAAAATCATTAGTTATCTGTTATACATCAATATATGTTATATCTTACTCACAATTTCTCAACTGTGTCATAAAGTATTTCAACCCAGTGGCGTTCCTGCTAAAGAAAACTAACAGTCACTTTGGGTACAATACCTATAACAATTTTCCACGCCCACGCTTGTCTTGGGAATTGGGATAATTGTCTTCAAGTTCATATAAAAGCTTCTTGTAAGTATGGCCATCGATAAGATCCTTGTCATGCAACTCCTTCAAAAAACTCATAGCATTATGTACACTCTGTTGCCGGCATATTTCATCAGCCACTGTCTTGTACGTAATGAAGTCAACTGATCGTTGATTGTCATTCATCTCCCGCAATAATTTTACTGCATTTTCTACCTCTCCACCCAAAGCTAAAGCGTTCACCAGTGAGTTGTAAGATTTGCTACTGGGAATAAATCCTTTCCTTTTCATTTCATCACAGAGTTCTGTGGCATTCTTTGTTCTACCTTGTGCACACAATCCATGGATCAGATAATCATAGGAAAAAGAGTTTGGATGGCACTTATAGACAACACCCATCTGGTGAAATATCCTCAGAGCATCATTCACATGAAGTGAAAGAACATATCCTTTTATCATAGAATTCAAGGAAAAGATATCTGGTTCAACCCCATCATTAATCATCTGTTTAAATAGGCTACGAGTGGTCTCCATATACAGGTGACTTATATAAGAATTCTTTCCGTTACTCAAAAGTGCAGCAAAAAGAATATTGTAAGTTCTTATTGACGGCCTGCAATCCAATTTCTTACTGTTCTGCATATGCTTAAATATATTTACAGCTCTAGTCAACTTCCTAGCTTCTGTGAAGTAGTATATCATAGTATTGTAAAGTGCCTCAGAACCAATAGAGGGAACAGCAAGCACTTGATTGACAACATCATCCATCTCCTGATACATTTTCACTGCACCAAGCCTCTGTATGGTTATGTGGAACGTTGAGGCATCATGCCTGAACCTATGTTGAGTTGATGCCCAGTTGAACAATTCTAAACACACCAAAGGATCTTTTTCTACATTCATGACATTCAACAGCTCCTCAGGGGTAAATCTAGGTGGAAGTTGAGATATTGCCCTTTGAACCCAGGATTCATCAAGAACAGGTTTGGCAGCAGCCAAAGCTCTTTTGCGCATCCTCCTTCTCAGAGACCTTGTTGGGGGGGCCCTCAGGCGTCGGATTGCATCAGAAGAATAGAAAGAAACTGGAATAAAGTTTATCATAGATGCATTAAAACATTCTTTCGCCAAAAGCGTTACAGATTTTGACGAATTGTGTAATTGCCGCTGAAAATGGCATGTACTTGAGTAATGGGAATGGACATTTATAAATAAATTCTCACATGTGGAGATCAAGGAAACACATACATTTGGATGATTTGCTATTACCATACCCCGATACATGGTTACTTTACTGGAGCATAACAGCTGGAGGCAATGCCTAAACACTGAGAGCATATCAAAATGAATAGAAATTTATCAAGAAAACTTCTGAAGAATGAGATAAATACTATTACGGAGTAATTGCTAACTAAACTTTGACAGCTAGAAATCTAGAATACAAAATAATGCTTTTTTAGGTGTTGGATGAAACTTCAACCTAAACTATCAAAGATAGAATTAGAATGATATGGACTTTCTAGCTACTGCTGATGCGAAAGGTAAACAATTGCTCACAATTACGCTCAGAGGGGAAGATGATAGAGATTGAAGACAAAGTCACAGGTCTGAACTACTGAGTACAAATTAATTATGATCTTTAAAAAATTTTAAATTAGGATTAAGGCGGTTTGACAAGAGCTTATTTAGCCAATTATTTAGATATAATAATTTACAAATAAGCATTAACACTTCACAATTAGCCAATTCACCAATTAAGAATTTATGATCATATATATTAATATATTCTAAATAAATACCACAAATCCATTTTTGACAAATTTAATAAGAAAATTTGATACAATATTTAGGGATTTACTGAAGTAGGGTAGAGGTTCGAACCTGAGGAGCTGCAAGCTGCTGCTGTTGTAGGATTTACGACTAGTCGAAGTGGACGGCGGTCGAGGGAGCTGCTGACTGAGACAAATACACGGCGAAGGCCGCCGCGATCCTGCGGCGGTGTGGCTGTGATTCCGTGAAGACGGAGTGGTCCGGCGGCTTTCTCCTTGAAGTTTGCTTGAATGGTTGCTGAAATTTGAATGTGGGTTATGCGGTAGAAGGTTGAAGCCGTGGATACTGAAGAGCTGCGTAGAAGATCGGAGAATACATAATACAGAGAGGACTGGTCGCCTGAACAACTATTTATTCATTTTACCCTCATTTTTAGTATAATTAATGTTTATTTTTAGTAATTGAATATTTAATTTTTAAAATTTTATTTGTAATATATTAAAATTTTAATATTTGATATATTATTTAAAAATTATCATTAGTTCGATCATTGAGAGTATGAAGCAATCTTAATTCTTATGATTGGAACCTTAACACCATCCGAAGAGTTGTTTTCCATTCCGAACAATTTAACCATCTAAAGAGTTAATTTTTCATCCGAAAAATTAGTCTCGAACATTAATTTTTCAGAAATCAATCCCTCAATTCCAGAATTGAATATTTTTCAGTTCCAACTTTTCACATAACCCTTTTTTCCCACTATATATTCCAACCCGGAAAGATTGCTAACTTCTTTGATAGCTACATATAACATGCATCCTTATCTGATCATGTCTGAATCACTCCATTAATTCCATTTACTTTTTTTAAAGGCATCAAATTAAATATGGAAGCTGATATGAGCACCATAACAAAACGTACAAAATAAATATCAGCTGTTTTTAAATTTGATCAAACATATAGTAATAAGTATTTTGCAAACAAATTATTCAAATTCAACTCCAATAAATATTCATAAAACAAATCTAGGATAACTCATGAATTACTTCTAAGAATAGAATTATAAAAAATAACAACTACAATTATGAAACAAATGTAATAATAAAATCTATCTATTAATATAATTAGTACAAATCTAATAACTTCTAACTAAGAATTAGAAACAATATCGTATACCTACTCATCATCGCTATCATCATCATCATCACCACCACCACCACCATCAGTATCATCATTATAATCATTATCATCGGCAGAAGAGAAGTGGAAGAAGCAGGAAAGGATAACCTCCATAAATTGAAACCATTCATATCATCATTATAATCATCGGCGTGAGAGAAGTGGAAGTAGTAAAGAATAACCACAATAAATTGAAAAGCTATAATGATACCTATAAACACGAATAGAATTGTAAAGTCCATATTTCTGAAATTAAACCAGATCAATGTAGCAACTTTGAAAAATATGATTAATTATTATATCTAAACAACTTGAAGAATGATCTAAATAGCTTGAAGAATGATGAATAATGTTATCTCCGATCTAACAAGGGTTTATATAGTATTAGCTAGTTATTATGTTTAACGATTTCAGTATGATTGGGAAACTCTAAGTTAATCTTAAACCAATTAGAATTTTAGTATTAAAAGAAAGCTGGCTCTAACCAATTACGCTATTACGGCTGATAACACATTAACACAAATATCTTTCGTATTTTGGTTTTCTCCAATATTTCATATGAAATAGATTATAATAATCCATGAAAAGTTAATTATTAAAAGTATATATTTTCTACCGTTATATTTGAGAGCATTTTTTAGAATGTTTCTACAAATTGTGAAGCAACTAACTAATGTTCAAAACACCAATGTATGATGAGGATGGAAGAACCAAACCACAAAAGGAATCATGCAGGAGAATGATAGATTTAGTGCAATATATAAAGTGCCAAATTAGTTTTTTTTGTTTAAAAAAAAAAAAAAAAAAAAAAAAAAGAAGTGTGACTTATCATATGGGTGTTGCTATTTGCACCACCCTTTGACCAAAAGTGGGTATAAAGTATCTTGAAATTGTAAAAAGGTATAAACTTTTAATAATTACATGGGGAATTCTATTTGCACCACTCTAATTGCTATATACACCACCTATTTAATAGGTGTGATAACTTTTAGGTGGTGTAAATAGAAAATTGTTATTTGCACCACCTTCATTAATTTTAGTCAAACATTATTTTTTAACAAATATTTATTATAAATGACACTTTTTCCCCTTAGTTATATGCTTTTAACATTTTTTCCCTCTTAGTTATTTATGTATCCACATTTGCCTCCTAGTTACATTAAAAGTGGCATGTTTTCTTCCTTTTATGTTTGATAGACATTTTTACCCTTAAAACTAAATATTTCATTTATTTTTTCTTCTCCAACAAATTATTGTTTATATGTACGGATGGTCACGGTTGAGTTCAAACAATTTTTTTTTTAATTTTATTGCCAGTACAAAATTTATTTATTTATTATAAATTTTATTTATTATTTTTTTTAAAAAAATAAATTTAATAATTATTTTATTGTATTTTATTTTTTCGGTTCTGAATCGTAAGCAAATCCAAAGGGAGTTTGTTTTAAGAGTAAATACCCAAAATGGTCCCTCGACTATAGCTAAATTTACAAATTGGTTATCGACTTTCAATTTCAACCAATTCAGTCCTTAACTTTGCAATTTTGACTCGATTTGGCCCTCCATCTATTTGACCGTTTGTTGACCGTGATCAAACAATCTCCAGAAGAACCTTCAGCTCTCGTCGGAGCATGTGGAGGCTTCCAGGATGACGTTGCACCGGTTCGGAAACACGTCGTCTTCTTCGCTCTGGTTTGAACTCAACTACATTGAATCCAAAGGGAGGATGAAGAAAGGCGACCGGATTTGGTAGATTGCTTTCGGCAGTGGATTCAAATGTAACAGTGCGGTCTGGAAATGCAACCGGAACCTTAAAAAACTGACGATGGACCATGAAATTACATATATATCATCAAAAATCACAGTCAACAAACGGTCAAATAGACAGAGGACCAAATTGTGTTAAAATTACAAAGTTAAGGACTTAATTGGTTGAAATTGAAAGTCGAGGACCAATTTGTGAATTTAGCTATAGTCGAGGGACCATTTTGGGTATTTACTCTTGTTTTAATTTGCAATCACACGTGTTATATATTACTCTTCCGAACTTCATTCCAGTTAAAAAGGGGGGAAAATATTGATTTCTTAGGCTTTCGCTGTCATATTGAAGTTGACAATCCATTACGTTCCAATGGCATTTTGGAGTGTGATTTTATATCTAAGATTATATTTGATTTCTCTCTTTTTGAGGAATGCACACCTTCTTTAGATGACATATATACTAGTAATCTACAACTACTTTGATTTAACAACAATTGGTTTTTATATAATTATTATATATAATATGATTGAGCCAACTATCTTGTAATATGATGTAATATGATGACATTTCAATTACCATTTCAAATAAATGATCATAGGTCCGAACCTTGGGAGTAGAGCTTAGATTCTTAGGGTTAAAAATGTTTAAGAAAATATAGGATAAATAAAACTAATTGTGAAACCACAACATAACTTTATTTTCTTATACTTACAATTCAGAACCGAAAAAATGAAATAAAATAAAATAAAATAATTATTAAATTTATATTATTTTAAAAATAAGAAATAGAATTTATAATAAATAAATAAATAAATAAATTTAGAATTGGCAATAAAATAAAAAATTGTTTGAAGCGAACCATAATCATCCGTACACATAAACAATAATTTGTTGGAGAAGAAAAGATAAATGAAATATTTAGTTTTAAGAGCAAAAATGTTCACCTAACATAAAATGGAAAAAACCTGCCACTTTTAATATAATTGATGGAGCAAATGTGGATAAACAAATAACTAAGAGGAAAAAAGTGTTATAATCATATAACTCAGAGGGAAAAAGTGTACAATTTTCCCTTAACCGGAAACTTTTAATTCGATTGCTATAGTGTCCGGTTTAGTTAGAACCAAACCGTGGTCATCTATACGTTTAGAGAAGAAAAATAAATAAAATGTTTACTTTAAGGGTAGAAATGTCAATTTAATACATGGGGGGTGGGGGTGGGGGGGGGGGGGATCGTCACTTTTAGAATAATTGAGGGAGCTAATATGCTAACATGAATAATTCAGGGGTAAAAAGTACTATAAGTATATAACTTAGGGGGAAAAAGTACAATTTTCTCTTAATTAAAGTTTGAATTAAAAAATTATTAATTACACTTCATAAATGAGGTTTGACCAAGGTGGTGCAAATAGCAAAATGAATCCCTATTTGACTATTTACACCACCTATGTAATTATTGAAAGTTTTCACCTTTTTACAATTCCAAGATACTTTATACCTACTTTTGACTAAAGGGTGGTGCAAATAGCAACACCCAATTACATAAGTGGTGTAAATAGTCAAATAAGAGTAAGGTGTTGCTATTTGCACCACCCTTTGACCAAAAGTGGGTATAAAGTATCTTAAAATTGTAAAAAGGTGTAAACTTTTAATAATTACATAAGTGGTGTAAATAGTCAAATAAGGGTTCATTTTGCTATTTGCACCACCTTGGTCAAACCTCATTTATGAGGTGTAATTAATAATAGGGTGTTGCTATTTGCACCACCCTTTGACCAAAAGTGGATATAAAATATCTTGAAATTGTAAAAAGGTGAAAACTTTTAATAATTGCATAGGTGGTGTAAATAGCTAAATAAGAATTTATTTTGCTATTTGCACCACCTTGACGAAACCTCATTTATGAGGTATAATTAATAATATTTTAATTCAAAACCTAATTAATTAAAACATTAATTTTTATTTTTATTTAAAAAAAAATGAACCCAGTCACTGTTTTGTTTTTGTTTTTTGTTTTTTTTTTGTTTTTTGTTTTTTGTTTTGTTTTTGTTTGTTTTAATGCCATTATTTATGCAATATTTTTTAAGTTTCAATAAATATTTTTTTTTAAGTTTTTATTTTCAATACATCTTTTTTTTTTGTTCAATATATATATTTTTTGTTCAATACATTTTTTTTTAAGTTACTAATTTTAATACATTTTTTTAAGTTTCTAATTTCAATACATGTTTTTAAGTTTATAATTTCAATACATATTTTTTAAAACAATTAGTCAATATTGATGTTTGTGAGATGAAATTACTGATAATTTGGATGGCAGAGAATACAAATTGGACTCATATGACTCTATATATATGTGGGGTGTGTGTTATGTATATGTATCACACAATCTATAAGTCATGGATGATTGGATAGAAGATTTTTTTAGATACAATAATCAGAATCAAAGCCAGTTACTTAGTTACAATGATCAAAATCAAAGTCAAGGACATTATGAGGTATTTTAAGTTGTTATTTGAATTTGAATTGTTATTTATTTCTATGGGTGTTGCTATTTGTATTTTAAGCCAGTTTGTTCTTGCTTGTTAGGTAATTAGGATTCATTTAAATTAGATATAATTTCTCAATTGACTAAATAACAATCTCTTTGTTCCATGTCAAGAGAGAAAATTATAGTATTAATCAATTTAGTGAATATAGTTGTAAATTAATTTAATTTGTTGTGAATATAGTTGTAAATTATGCAATTTATTGTATTTACAGTATAAAAAGATAGGTAGAATTGAATTGTTAATGAATTGTTATTTATTTCTATGGGTGTTGCTATTTGTATTTTAAGCCACTTTGTTCTTGCTTGCTAGGTAATTAGGACTCATTTAAATTAGATATGATTTCTCAATTGACTAAATAAAAATCTCTTTGTTCTATTTCAAGAGAGAAAATTATAGTATAAAGAGTACTGAATTTGGGATTTTATTTATTGGGTGACTGGTGAGTCTATCTATATATTGAATTAATTTAATTTGTTGTGAATATAGTTGTAAATTAATTAATTTATTGTATTTACAGTATAAAAAGATAGGTAAAAAATTTAATTTATTGAGTAATATTGAGTACATAGAGCAATATATACTACAAAGAATACACAATTGTAGGAAACTATTATACAGAGACTAAATGACAACCATAAATACAAAATTCAAAATAGAAAGAGTGTAGGAAGGCATGCAGTAGACTTATTTTATGATTAGAAGCCTTTGACCTCCACTTATTTTATGATTAGAATTTTAACTACATCAAAATTGTTAGAACTCTAACCCACATATCTTTATAAAATTGTTACAGTATTTAC